GGACGACTAATAGCTTCTTGGATGCGTATGTGGATGACGACTTTGTCTCGTGTTGAAGGTGGAGTTTGGAAACGACAAGGACCGATGCAACTCGGGGTACATGAACCGCTAATAGCTTCTGGCAAGCGTAAGTAGGTGGCGGCTTTCTCGAATGTTGAAGTTCAACTTGATGTGAGACGGAAATTGGATGCGAAAGAAAAGGTGGTTTGGTGGTAAGTAGTGCGTGTCGTCCGGTATATGATTAAGAATGTTCGTGTACCGCTCACAGTTCCACAACTGTCGTACTCACCAAAATCCCTAGCCTCCACCCTAAGGCTACATCTCCAAAAGAAGCATCGTCCAGAGGCCAAGTAGCGTCGTGTCAGAACCTGCTAGCACCGGGACCGGGTACGCCGACCAAACCTGCCAATTCCAGCGTCCGGCGCAATCCGAAGCGCCTCGTATAGATCGACAAGCGCATTCAGCCTATTTCGGGACACTTGTCGCGAAAGCTCGCCATTCTCCATCCCAAAGCAGATCGAGTAGTCTCCGCAGACAGACCGCCTGAACAGCGCCGTCGCAACTCCGGTCGGCCAACCTACATAGGACGCCGCCCTGCCAGCCGAACCCAATTTCGAGGACGTGGCTGACCGCCGATCATCGGCGCTAACGACGTTCTAGCGCCTTGGCAGATATGCAGTCGCGTGGCTAGGGTCAAGTGGCGGTGATAAGCGGCTGGGCTGGGCAAGAGATCCTGTTTTGTAGCTCTCAGGCGTGCCGTTGGTGATGCGCTTGATGGGCGTCTCAATCGTGGTAAGCTGTAGGATCGGCTGGGGGGAGTATACCTCGTTCGGCAGGTGACACTGGCCCCGGGTGTCACAGCGTCGGAAGCCAAGCGCAGCAACTCGAAACAAGGCAAAGTAATCTGGGGCAAGGACGGGATATCAGTCTTGTGTGAATAATATTGATTGTGTGAACTGGAGACTCGTATTGGGGTATCATCGCGTCGGAAGACCCAGATCGAAAGTGCGACGGTAAAATGAATCGGGGCGAAAACCACCCAGCCCGAACCGAACCAAAACCGAAAACATGATAACAAATGATTGCCCATCCTATATCTGGAAAACGCCTTGATAATGCAACGCTATGCTATGCGATAAGCCCTTTCCTCTTTCTTCGTAAACGTATTATCTTTGCTTTGCCAGTAGAGCAAGCCGTTGCTATTGTAGTATGACATTCTCTTCCTGCTGGTATACGACGCCGCTCGTGTTCTGCGCGAAGATCTTTTGTATCGGAAGTGTGAGTGCGTTCATGATGTTCTCGCGGAAGTCCATCTTGACGTTGCTCTTCTCGAACCAGTAATGGCGGATGAGCTTGCCCTGGCAGTTGCTGACCTCGACACCGGGGAAGCCATTGGCCTCTCCGCACTCAAGCTCCTTGATGTATTGCTCGTAGTCGTAGCGGATGTACTCGCCGAAAGCGGATTGCTCGTGAAAGCGGGGTTGCTTCCATTGCGAGCAGTTTGCGTAGCGGGTGTCGTCGGGGCACTCGTGCCATGCCTTGAGAATGGGCAGGGTTTGCTCGTTGTTCTGAACAATCATGAAGCCGGTGTTGGTGTAGGTGCGGTTGAAGCGGTCGGAGTTGTACTGGGGCTCTTTCGCGCTCCAAGGGTCTTTGGCCATGACGAAGGAGTGGTGTGGCTTTACGTCCCAGTGGTTGAGCATCCATTCGACAGGGACGTGCAGGAAGCGGAAAGCAGCATCGGCGTCGAGGAAGATGATGAACTTGTAGTCCTTGATGTGGTTTGCAAGTGCAGAGGGCTTGATCCAGGTAGCGTGTCGGTCTTCGAATTCGCGGGCTTGAACGAACTTGTAGTCGTAGCCGTGGACAAGTGCATACGTGTAGTGGTTGAAGATGCCGCCAGAAACGTGGTTGATGTTGCGCCAGTCATATTCGCCCCGTTCGTACTCCTCAGTAGACTTGAGGGGACGGGTCTCCAGATCCAGAATCAGGACGTCGCTGCCTAGGTTCTTCTTGTAGCGCGGGTTCGGTGGCAACGTGATGTGGCTGCCATTTGGTTCGCGAATGAAGGGCTCAGTCGGTGACACCTTCAGGTTCTGGTACAGTAGCTTAATGACATCGCCAATGGTCGAGTCGGTCTGCGCGCTGGCTGCTGCTCTGTAGGGTCTGTTAGCTTCCGCCGGAAAAGCATTGATTAGGCCATGGCCCTTCCATCCCAAGAACCATGAAATGACAGCACGTACAAGTTAGACTGGCCATGTGGGAAAGTCACCCGGGGTGGACTCTGCCAAGCCATGAAGGCGAAGATGAATACCAGGACACAGCCAGCGCTCACCGAGAGCGCGAGCAACGGGCTCCGACCTCCAGTCGACGGTAGCATCATCTTGGGCGGCGTAGATCCAGGAAAGAGGATAGATCCAAACGAGCGACGCGAGAGTGCAGACGGAGATGTTACGATGGCGATAGGGGGTACAGCGTGCTGTGGCAGGGCGTCGGGGGATCAGCACATTTTAAAAGACGACAGACCCGCCAGCTCGTCAGCACCAGCCAAGACGCGCAGGAGGTGGCATGGGGCGCTGGGGGCCGGCGAGATTGCGCTTGGCAGGCCCTTCAGCCTTTTGCGGTGTCCCTGCAGCCAGACGCCCCCGAACCTGGATCCACTGGCGGTGCTAAAGTGGCTTCTGGATCCCGTCTTGGGGCGAATCAGATGCTGGCCCGCTGCTGAGCCGTGAATCTTTCCAAATGGTGTTGATGCACGGTTCCTGCCGCGCTGGTAAACGGCTGGCACGGCATCACAGTGCAGTTGGCGGTCATGTGCCGCTGTGGCTGACAGCGCATCAATATAGACAAAGTCGAAGCTGTCGATGTTTTCCGAGAATCATGGAACAGCTATTGTTGTACGTGTTGGGCTCGAGGCCATTTCCAGTGCGACCGGACGAGCGAAGATGGTGGCAAAGGGTCCAAATTGGGGCGACGCCTACCAGAAACTGGTAATCTCCCCGCCTGGCTACCCGCCCCACTCGACATCTCCATCCCGCCTCCTGACATCTTCGCTGTTCCCGATAAGCCAACGCCTCCTTTCCAACATGCAGAACCACCCCGCATCCGACGCCGCTGTCTGTTGCTGTCTGAAACGAACCTGTGTCCACTGCAGCGAACGCTGTGTTTCCTGGGCGGTGCCACAATATGCGGCTGCTGACTGGGCGTTCCGCACTTCCGTGGAGCAATCAAACGTTCGACATTGTCAGCGTCAATGCAATAAGCTCGGTGATTACTACACCTATGGGGCTACGATGGATAGCCTAGGTATCACTACTGGTCCTGATCAGTGATCATCTCTGGGGCCGATGTCTATTTCTTACATTCTTGTCGTCAGCCTGCCGTTTGGCGTCGTCGACTTGTCAAACCTCGAGTACGCGACACAGCTCTGACTCTCGGTAACTAGCTGCACGGGTGTTCTTAACTTAAAACTGACTTCGTGACGTTGCTGTATAGACCTGATGCGGCGTAGCCTGGTCCGCATTGTATGCATGCAAACGCCAACCGATACTCAGGTCTACAGGAACTGGACCTGATCTGCCACTCGGTTTTTACCCACCCTAGCGCAATGCTTGAATGGACGACAGAGAACTGACTTGCTTGTGGCATGGTTTGCTTCATCTTCCATGCGCTTTATCGCGCGTTCTCTTTGAGACGAAGCAAACTTCTCCGTCAGCTGGGTATGTATACCGGATCGCGCCACCACCTTTTCTACATACTTAATACATAACAAGCCATGAATTTAGTTCGCAGACTCCAAAATACAATGACAGAAGCAGGCCACCAAATGGAAAGTTCATCAACCCCAAGCCAGTCTTCGGCACCACAATCCTTCGTACCCACGAATCCCAATCTCATCGACACTAGTAGCGAAGCACACCAACATGATGAGTCCAACGCTTCCTCTACCGACGACCGAAGCGATAATGACTCACGAGGCTCCGAAATCCCGACACCAGAAGGCGAAACGTCCGGCACATACACCCCCTCACAACTACTCATGGCCATATTCGTCGCAGTGGTAGTCTTCCTCATACTCGCAGTCTACCAGGGCATCTTGTACATTCCTGGTGCTCATCCCATCACCGCCGCGCTCGCCACGGTCTCGATCTGTACCGCGATCACTTCGCAACCCTCCTTCCTTGGTCGCTTCATCCACCTCATATTGTACGCGATCGGCTTCATGGCGAAAGTCATCGAGACATCGGTACATGGGGGTTATGCCCGTGGCTCAGAGAGTCACTCTAGATCCTCCTCACGCCAACGTAGTTCTGGCAGCTCATCACCAAAACCAAAGCCCGCGGTCCCAAAGAAGAGTAGCCGTATCAGTAACATGAAGATTTAGCTCACCACTTCCACGCTCCTCTGGTCCTTGTATGCTTGGAGACGCGGCGAATAGAATGCCAGTAGTAGAAGAGCCTCCTATGGAAGAATATTTTGACCCTGCTCCATGATGAGATGTACGGGCGGAGGCACGAGGGATAAGAGCGCAGCGGCAAGTACTTTGAAGTCCACCTTTTCCCCTCGCCCTTGGCTGCTGTAGTAAATGTGGTAGATGTAGGCTGTAGAACATGCCTGTATACACAGTCGGTCAGCACAGGCAGTCTATCGATAAAGTATCAAGATAATCCTTCTTCCCAAATTGTGGTCCAAGACCTTTTTGGCAATGGCAAACTACAACGTATTGGTCTCTGATCTTATGACACTTATCTCTACCAGGCCGCTCACTCGGTATAGTTCTGAATGCTTCGAGAAGACGCGAAGATAAGCCAAGCCGCACTCTTTACCCGGACGCCCATGTACGGATTCGCCAAGCGCATCCACTATACTCTCGTGTTGGTGGCACAGATGCGCCGCATACATGTGTATACAACCACCGCCATCCATCTTGTATAATTCCATCATTCTGCTTTGCGTTCCCGACCTTGCCTTCCCAATCACCGTGTCACTATCGCATCATCATGCGCCGCCATGTCCAACAAGTACCAACCTTGCTGTGCCTCCTAGGCGCATGTACTGGACTCCAAACGGAAGACCCACCGGCTACAGTACAATTTGACCTCGTTTTCCCCCCAAACTACTCCTTGATCGAACCCTACTACCCATCACCCGTCATCTTTGCGGTTCACAACTTCTCCGCCATCGGCCAGAACACTTTCTTCTGGAGCTGGAACATTACTGTTGCGATTAACACCGTCAAGGGCTATGAATCAACCACCGTCGTTGCCTCAGGTCAAAGCCGTCCCGATACCATCGGCGTAGAAATGTCACCTGATGTACTTCTCATAATTGAGCCTGTTTCTCAGTTATGGAACAATACCATGGACCTTCTTCGTCTGAGCTACACATTCGGTCTAACTTACGCTTGCGGCAACACGACTGGACTCTCGACAAATGGTTCAGATAACACAGTGCAGTTTAAGGGAGAGAGTTTCTTTGCGATATTGCCAAACTACTCAGACGAAGACAACGAGTATTTATACCTCGCAAGGAAGGGGCGCTGCGGCAGGCCGATCGGGTCTGTTGGGGTTCAGAAGCGGCCCTTCGGCAATTCGGAGCAAGACTGTCAGGTTCTCAACCCTGGTGTACAGCCTACGAAAACTTGTGCGCTACCCATCGATGCAAAGGTGACGAGATGGGCGGAGGCCGTGAAGAATATAGCAGCTAGGTGTCCTAATTGCACTTGGCCCGATACCACTGGGCTGATGGGTAATTGCATGTCGAAAGCGTCTAGGAAGAGCGATCTGGAAACCCGTGGTACGATTCTGTTCATAATTGCAGCCTTTCTTTTGATTGAAATTTACCCGTAATCTAAAACCAACGCTGTTGTCTGGCAACAGCCAATCTGGTTGGAAGACGTCGGCTGTGCACCAATAGAAGTTTTGTGTTTGCTCTAGGGCTGTACCGCGTGCTTAAGGAAGGATGAACCTATCGCTCGTCAACACACCCCGTCGTCCCTCACCTACCTTGAGAAAGAGACCACGTCTACACAAGGTGAAAACAACTCAAACTCTTCCACAAGCAACATGCTCTCGCGATCCTCCGACCCAGCCTACATGACCATCGCCTGCCCGCGCAGCACGGGGATCAGTCCCCGAAACAAGATACCAACTGGTATCGTCGACCCGGGTGCGCATCCAGCGTGCACATATTGGCACGAGAATCTGGACAACAGCCTCCCTTGTTGTATCCTTACCTATTTTTACCTCATCACGACTGAAGAACTATTTGCGTGGGTCGGTATTAGTGTATGCGCTTTATGACTTGGAAGAGCTGATGAGATGACAGAACCCCTCCCTTACTAGTGAATGCGGAAATTACCAAGTTGGCCATAGCTACTGCGTTGAAGTTGGTACCAAACCCAGCTATTCTGCGATAGCTTTATCGGCGGTGGTATGTCCGACTCCTTTAAGCTCCGGGTCGTCTTCTACGCCAGTCTCTCGTCCCTCCACAACGTCGCCGGTTACCTCAACTTCCCCCATACCTTCTTCCACGCCGGCAGTGACCACACTGTCTACAACATCTCGCGCATCTTCTTCGACATCCTCTTGGATTGGAATCGCTACAATGCGTCAGATATTGGGCCGATACCTGGACTTGTGTTGGCGCTTTATGATGTAGCTTGGCCGCGACATGATCTATACACGCTCTTCTAGGCGGAACTAGAGCCCTGGCGTATCCGATGGATATGGTGTGCTGCACCTGCGTCCCCCTCCCCCTCTTCCTCCTCCTCCTACTCCAATCGCAACGACGAAGAAGCGTATAGTCCGATGTCGCTGTCGGGATTCGAGGAACAGCGCCGCGATGTCAGGGTTTATAAGCCGGATAAGACGTTCTTCAACGAGGTGTATTTCAACAAGGAGATTCTGTTGGAGTTGGCTGAGGATTAGTATTACAAGTTTAGATTGTTTGTCCCGAATCGGGAGCATCTTGAGTCGTTTTTTGGTGCAGGGTGGGGTTATGAGTGTGGTGTAGCATGTGATGCGTGAGCCCGAAATACGCTAGACGGCGACGTGGATTTGAATATGTAAGAATGTATTGATGATGGGGTATCGAGCAAGTAATATATACAAGAAGAGGTGAAGTCTATGAAATGACGTGATGCGAAAAAGAATACAAGACCCCATGCGGGGGATGAGCGCACACCTGCAAGACAGCCCAGAAGTCTACATTGCCTTCGTGATCTCATAATTTTAGTTTTCATACCGACGTAGACTGCATAGCATCTGTTCGGTTTCTGCTTTGAACGAGGTCGTAGTGAACGCTGCTTAGTGACCGCTCTAATTTTGCTGCCCTAGATCTTCGCCAAGCTGTGGAGACCATGGGTATAGATCCAGGAATGAGATGTTATCGTCTTGACTATGGACGAAACTTTCACCAGACCTTGGAAGAGTCTGGTGATGATACCCGGAAAATGATCCTTGCGCAGACGGAATGTCCTGATGTGTGTTGTAAGGTGATGTTGCGGAATGTAGCGATGTTGAATAGAATGAAAAAGGCGACGCTAGAGGGCTGTGATGGGTTTGAGCCGCTGGACCGTGTATCGATGTAGGTCCGGTGTATAGGTGTGTCGAAGGAAAATACGATGAAGAGGCGGCGTCGAACGGTTGGTTGCTCGGTAGGGTACTCAGATCCGTCGACCCAAGATTGCCGCTTACATTTACTGGCGAAAGTGGGTGCCCGAAACCATGGGCAGGGCGAAGAGGATACAAATGCTGAGGCGATGGCCAGCCTTCCTGTCGGACGGCATTGTATGGCGCAAGATTCTGTTGGCCGAACTGGAAGGGCCACACAGTTCGGTGGAGTGATGCCGCTTCTACGGCTTGCTGAAGATCATTATGAAGTTCCTGAAAGGCTTGGTCCTCGCCTGCTGCAGGATCGTACGATTGGGATGGTATCGAAAGCCCATTTCCAGCGCCCCTAATATTGAAAAAGTCGTGTGCGAGTGAACCCTCAGCTGGTGCTTGCTGTATGTCGGGTAGAGTATACGAGACCTGGTTTGGGTGTGCTGCAGGTGCATGGGTTTGAGGGGTCTGCGGTGCCGAGCCGAGCTTGGTTGGGGTAGGCCTCTTGGCTGGTCGGCGACGAGGTGTAGAGCTCTTGTTGGCTCTGCGTGAGGGAGTCGTAGCAGTGTCCGTTTTGTTCTTCTTTCTCTTGACGGGATCGGGGTGTAGACCCGGCTGGCACTTGCGCTCGTGCTTCAACAGGGCATCATTGCGAGTACACACGACCTTGCACTTCTTGCACATCAAAGGGCTCTCATTGGCCGATGGATGTTGGGTCCGTATGTGTCGTGCGAGGTTGTTCGTCATGTCGTCACCAGTGAACGGCACATTGCACTGTCCGCACCGAATCTCATCAGGGGATGATGGTGGCGGCGAAGGCGTGGAGGGGATGAGGTGCTCGGGTGCGTTTGTATCGACCAGCGGCTGACCATGTCGAGGATTGGCTGAGCCTTGTGTGAGTTGCAGCGGTAGGCCGTGGCTAGAGTTCGCGTGCGCGTGTACGGTGGGAGGGATGTCGTTGGCTTGATGTTCGGAAGGCGGCGTGTTATTGAGCTGGTAGGGAGGTTAGTCATGGATGCGCAACGAAGCAGAGAATGGCTTACATGAATGCCATGCTGCGACCAAGGATTAGGGGGAGGTGCCGTGACACAATGCGACCCTACGCCAGTGAGGTTGTATGCCGACTTGCCGGCGCCCATGGAGGAGCGCAAGGGACGCTCGAGGCGTTCATCATCGTTGGGGTATATCGGCGGCGACATGCTGAGATGTCGCCCTCCCTCTAGTCCTGTATGAGGTGGGACGAAAGGGGGGTGAACCACCCAAGGTGGTCAGCGGAGGGTTTGAAGGTATGTGTCGCGGTTTGGTCCAATGCGATCTGGTCGAGGCGCATCATCGGTGGGTGAAACAAACGTCCGAAGGAGGGCTGGGGCAGCAGACTTTATGCATGGAAAGGTGCTGCGAAGCCGTGAACGGAGACAGTCCCAACGACAGCCAATGTGGTGCGCCTCCAGCCCGTAAGTGTGTAATTGCTCCTTTGCTCGTCCTCCCACGCTGCATGCTCGTCACAAGAAGGCTAGCCGATGCCCCGTGCGGGGACTGATGTATGAGGGGAGAATTCGTAGGGCTAGCCTAGGGGAAGGATGCCGGAAGGATGCCGAGGGCTTTGGAGCTTAGATCGTAACTAGGATGACCTCGCAGGGTGGAGCAATGAGGACGGGCAATTTGAAGTCGCGCGTTGGTATCTCGTAGAGGGATGGACGGGGCGAATGCGCAGCCATGCAGGGAGCTTAGCAATTCAGCGACTGGGGAAAACGCGATTTGTACGTCACAGGGAATTGTCGTATGAGGACGTGGTACCAGGAAAGCGCAAGCCACTCAGGCTAGTATGCTTCGAGTCGAGGCGGTGCACAGCAAGGCAACCACGAAGCATGGAAGCATAGAAGCTTTTGCGCCTCAGATCTCATTTCCGCTCGCCGCACTGCAGAGGCAAGAGAAATGCAGCAGGAATGATGAGAGGATCCATAATGGCATGGACGCGTCCCCATCGCGAGCGCGGGAGTGCCTGGCGTCACCGCGAGCGGGGTGTGCAATGCACAGACCGCAACAGAGGCACCTGTGGACCTATCGTGATCGCAAGCGGGAGGCGGAGCAGCGAAGGATAGTGGCAAATTTTCAGAATGCGCGCAGCTGTTTGGTGTTATGGGAAGCTCTTTGCGCCCAGGCTGGGGGACTCTTACCAAAGCTTCTTGGGTGGTGTGGGTGGAGCGTGTAATCTCCATCAACTGCTGTCCTGCGCACGCCAGCCAACTTGGCGTCGTGGCTTCGCTCATGAAAATTTTCTGAACATGAAACAATGCCCGAACGAAGGTCGAGACGCGTCCTTCGTAAACATGCTGGCGAAGGACGGGTAATTCATCTTGTTCGACGGATGACGTCGGTGGGTGAGGGGTACCGACTCCGTGACGCTCGAAGACGGCGCTTACGGCTATCTCAACAGTCTTCGGATAAGATCTTGGCTTCGTACGTGGCACGCTCAACGCAGTGTCAAAGCGTATCGCACGCTGCATGCAGTCAGCAACGTGAAACGGGTTCTGGCCAGAGTTCGTGCGATGTGATGGTGCATGGAGCTACAGCTTCCCCTTAGTCGGACTGTGACCTGTCAGGGCAAGGTACCACTTGACACCACACATGTCGATCCCGTTGTTCCCACAAACGCCCGCCTGTCGGGCCCTCTCCAGTATTGCATCATATTCATCTTGACCCTTGACGCCGATCGTGATCGACACAAGGCCCTCTGGATGCCCTTGTCTCCCTGGTATGAAACTCAGCCTGGCGTTCGTGAAAGCCAGCAGGTCGCGACTTCGCACGACGCCAAATATCGCTTCCCACTCCCGTGCGGCCGCTTCGTGGCCAAGGTCGCCAGGCTGCAGGCGCAGTACACAGCCCTCTAGCGTAAGGTGTTCGGTCCGCTCCATGGCGGCCCTATAGCGGTCGATGTCTGAACCGCAAGCATGCCATGGGGAGAAGCGAGACTGAACTGGCGTTGGATTCTTCGGACCCGGTACGTGGGAATCGAGTTCTGGCATCATGCCGCCTGTCACCTCGTTAGCCGTATAACCTTGCAATTGGTAGATGCCTAGCGTACCCTTGATGCCCTTTGGATGGTACTGAATACACACCGAATCCGCGTAACTATGCTCAAAGATGACTCTGGACAATCCCTTCGCTTCGATGTATTCGCGTCGCTTCTTCGCATCTTCTGTCTGCATGATGATCATGTATCCGCCGTCACCGCGCTTCTCGATCAGCCGTCCGGCAGTCGTCCCTGGTTTAATGGGCGAGACCACCTCGATGAAGTCGCCTCCGATTGGTACTGCAGTCATGTTAGTAGCTGGAGCTAGGAAGAGAGAGCGAACGTACTGAGGAAGTTCTTCAATCCCCATTGCTCAACCGCTGGATCCTCGAAGACTACTTCTGTTCCTAGAACGTAGGTCTAGCATCTTCGTTAGTTCTCTATATGCCCACCTTAGCATCGTTGGCCTACAAGAAGCTGCTTCGCGCGTTCGATATCCTCCGCGACAAGTGCAATCTGGCGTAGACGCGTTGGTGCCGGAGCAAGAGCCATGTCTGCTTGAGGTTTTTCCGAAGGAGCTATCGAATGGCCTACGATCCAGTTGAAAGAGCGAGACGATGGATTCGGGACGCGTAATGCCTCATTGACGCTTACTCGAGCTCAGCGGCTCAGCAGCGAGTAGCTTGTTCCCCGCATCAGCAGCCGCGGCACGTCCTAATGCGGAAGCTACAATGTTAGTGCACTGGATTAGTAGAGCATCAATTGAGATCAACGGAACGATGGATGATATCGTAGGTATCGACTGAGATACGTATCCCGAGCGGTGTTGTGACGTCGTCAGGGCGTGATGTTGCGATGTTTCATCGCGACTGCCACCTGGTCGGGCCGAAGTGCCGAAGCACCGATGCTCTCGTCTGATCTCCAACGCGCCTTCCAACAACACAACAACAACCTTCTTTTCACTTCCGCCGCTGATGCGCATCGACATTCACAAGTGAATTCATCTAGTCATCACGGCGAAGAAACGACACGAATTGCGCTCCTTCCTTCGTACGCCTCTCGCGTACATCACCCACAACATGGAGATGGTTGGGCTCCAATGAGTTGTTTGCAAGACCACACCGTAGCCTGGAGGTACACAAACCCCTTAGATCGATCTCCTATCGTCAGGTGCTTCTGCGAACATCTCCGGACTAGGTTTGACGATGCATCACGAAAAGCAGCTTCTCCGTATACGTGGGTCTGTTTACTTACCGACTGACACATCTCTTACTTTACAGACCTTGACAGAAGGTCACCAGGCTTTTGGAAA